GTAGAGCATTTGCCTTGCGCGCAGCCTGTCTGAGCCAGGTTCGATTCCTCCACCCCTCTTGGAGAGCCCGGCAAGCTACTGAGAGTATCTCGCCCGCATGGCAAAGCCTGGCAAGCTACCCGTGTTGTATTCAATATGCCAAACACAGTAACAACAAATCTCAAAATGGAGACGTTACTGGGCCTGCTCGAGCAAATCGATGAACAACGGAGGACAGTGTGACAGTGTGACTATTTCTCTGGCCCTAACATACACAGTTCTAATGTATTAAACTGAATTGTGGCTTCCCCACAATTTATGTGTTGAAGCCCAAGCCCCCTTCATCAGGATCTGTTGGATACCTGTTGGGTTGTGCTTGCTTCTCCTGCAGGGAGCTTAGGTTTATTGAGTTACTCCCACAACAGGACTCCTGAGACACAACCAATTCCATCAAGCACTAATAATCCTTTATTGCTTTTCTCTTGCCTTTGTGTCATTTGCATGCTTTTTAAAGCAATGTCTTTTTTGTATAGACCAGGAAGACAGTTGATGCTATGCTTTTGTAACATGGGAGTTAATTGACTCCAAATAATATTTACTCCTGGGCATCCATCATAGTTACCTGACTTAAACCTCAGTTGCCCTTGCTTCCTAACACCCCCAAAAGTAGGGTTGCAACAAAGGGAATGGATGGGCCCAGGGCAAGCTATAAGCTACCCTGATATCGAAAGGGCACAAGTTAAGCACCTAAGCATAAAAAGTTAAGAGCATGGTCATGGAACAAACTCTGTTATGATCCAAAAAGAAGTAACTGAATAAGGACCCTGCTGGGCTTAGAAAAGACTAACCTGGCCTGAGAAGTGTAGTCTGGGATATATAGCAAGATGTCCCCAGGAAGAGCCAACCTTTAAGCTTGATATATCTCTTACTGTATTCATACAAAATGACTATAAATATTAGAAATAAATTTACTATGATTGTTTAGCTGATTACTAGCTGAGGAAAGGACAAAGCAATACACCCTGAATGGAATCCCATCCTTCAGCGGATCTCCTAGAAATCTGAAGTGCTGAGCTCTCAGATGAGATTTTGTCCTTGAGTTAATCCCCTAGGACTTCCCCTGAAAGAATGGCTTTACCTCTATTTGTTGTTATGACAATGTTCAACCCCACCCATGTGTATGCCCATCCTTCATGATTTCTATATAACTGTGCTATAAAGGGGAAAAGGGGAACATAAAGAAGTGGAGGACTACATGAGAGCTAGGACTGTGATCACTGTGATCACTATCCTCCCGTTGTTCATCGATTTGCTCAAGCGGGCCCAGTAACGTCTCCTTTGTGAGACTTTGTTGTTACTGTGTTTGGCATATCAAATAGGTCACGGGGAGCTTGCCAGGCTTTGCCATGCGGGCGAGATACTCTCGGTAGCTTGCCGGGCTCTCCGAGAGGGGCGGAGGAATCGAACTTGGGTTGGCCATGTTGGCTGTGTGCAAGGCAAACTGAGAGCTAGGACTACATAGAGGATTTTGAGGTCAATGAGGAGACTAGGATGATGGAACTATGATGACTGGGACTATGACCAAAACTAGGACTACAATTGTGCTATAGGGGAGAGATCAGATTACACCAGAGGAGAGAGAAATAACTCACTACTGGTAAGTCTGGGGCCCAGTCCCTGTTTCTCCACTGGGGAGGAGTGTGAAATAAAATTATTACCAACCAGCCTGGGACCTTGCTTCTCTGTTCCCCTAGTCCTTCATGGGTCCATCCATCGCCCTGGGCCGGCCAGGAGAACAGTTCTCAACCACCAAACACTCACATCCCATGTGTGCCAATGTGCTTCTCCTTAGAAGCTCACAGGGAACCTCCTTTTGGGGTGCTAGGAACTAAGGGCAACTGAGGCTGAGGTCAGGTAAATATGATGGATGTCCAGGAGTAAATATTATCTGGAGTCAATTAACTCCCATGTTACAAAAGCATAGCATCAACTGTCTTCCTCTGTCTATGCAAAATGGCCATTGCTAAATAAGTCACGCAAATGACACAAGGGCAAGAGAAAAGCAATATAGGATTACTAGAGTTTGATGGAATTGGGTGTGCCTCAGGGGCACTGTTGTGGGAGTAACTCAATAAACCTAAGCTTCCTGAGAGAGGAGCAAGGACAACCCAATGTTATCCAAAAAAATGAGATCCTAAGGATTCACTATGATCAGTGTCGTTGCAAATCATTTCTTCCTTAGGGGTACACCATTAGGTGTTCAGGGACTATATCTGGTGGTGCTCCCTTTGTGGTGTGGGGATTTGAACCATGGCCATGGCCACAGCTGCACGCTAAGCAAGTACCTTCACCTGGTCCCTAATCAGTTTTCTTTGAAGAAGAAGAAAAGACACCCGTGATGGGTGAGCATAGAAATAAAGAGGCCTGTGAGGACACATACCTCAGGAGAATCCAATCCTGACAGCACCCTGATCTCGAATTTCAAACCTCCAGAAGTCTGAAAAAAAAAATTGTTTTATTGTTGAAGTCAACAAGTTTCATGGTATTTTATGGCAATCCTAGCAAACTAACACAAAATGCCAAATTGAGATCAAATTGGGAGAGAGCAGGCTTTTTCTGCTCTGGAGAAGTCTAAAGTTTACTTTTAAAACCTCTCTTTCTCTCTCTCTCTCTCTCTCTCTGTCTCTCTCTCTCTCTCTCATCTCCTTTCTTTTTCTCTCCTCCATCACATCTCTCTAAATTTCTTTCAACAAAAAACTATTTTGAAAAACAGAACAAAACACATTTGGGAATTTGAGGAGTAGTTGTTTTTAGATTTTTTTGCGTGGAGGTGGGGGGGTATATCCAGAAATGCTCAGTGGTTATTGCTGGCTCTGCACTCAGAAATCACTCCTAACAGTGTGCAAGGGACCATATGGGATGATGGGAATTGAACTTGGGTCGGCAGCTTTCAAGGCAAGTGCCCTACCCACTGTACTATCACTCCACCCCAATTGTTTTATTTTTATGATTCTCCCTTCCCCATTTTTTTCTCTAGCACCAAGAATAAAATCTAGGGCCTCATGCATGCAGGCTAGTAGAATTTCTTTCTGGGGATGAGGGAGGGTATTGACCCACACCTAGTTGTTCTTGGGACCATATATGGTGCCAGGGATGGGATTTGAGCCAGTGTAGGCCAGATGCAAAGTAAGTGCCTTATTTCCTGTACTGTTTATTTGACCTAGAATTCCTTTCAAGTACATGACAATCTATAGATTGCATTAAGAAGAGAAATATTAGTGCAGGAGACATAGCTCAGCTAGCTGAATCCCCCGCATGCCTGGTCCCTGAGCACCAACCCCTCATTCTGGCTCCTCCTCCTCCACCAGCACAGCTGGGTATGGCCCAAAAACAAAAGCAAAGGAGACAAATATAGATTTGGCCTGTGAATTACATCATCTGCAAACCATTTCTTCCTAGGAAGAATATATATGGGGTGGTATTACAATTCTTAACAAGACTATGACTACAGTATTCCAATGTTGACTGTCCATTGAACTGTCATTGAACAACTGAACTAGATCATGTATAAATCGAAAACTCAAGCCAAACATCATGATTAAGCAATCTAAATATTATGAACACCATAATTAAACTTTTAAAAATTAGATCTTTAAAAACATATCTGCTTATTTTCAGTAATATGCAATACCAAGAGGAAGCTTCATCTTTGACCTTAAGAACACTTTAAGAAAAGTTTCTGTCATTGAGGTGTACATGATGCAACAATGCAGTAATTTACTGTGATCGGTGACCTGGCCTGATGTTTTGATTTGGGGCACCTTACTATGTCTCTGACAGCAGGACCCTAGGCACTAAGTGTCTTGCGTCTTGGATCTCAGTGGTGGCTCTTTGACCCTCATTACCTGTTCCAGGATGTCATGGAGGATCGGGGATTGAGCCCAGAAAGACTCCTCCAGCTCACCAAACGCCTCTTTACTGTCTCCCATTGCACTGCCTTCAGTGCCTTCAAGCAATATGGACAGCTCTTACTTCTGGTCCCATGGCTCAAAGTGGACGGGGGTTGGGGAGTGGGTTTTGTTTGGTTTTTGGTTTGGGGGTCACACCTGGCAATGCTCAGGGGTTATTCCTGGCTCTGAAGTCAGGAATCACTCCTGGTGGGCTCCAGGAACCTCATGGGAAGCCAGGAATCAAATCCTAGTTGACCGTGTGCAAAGCAAATGCCCTACCAGCTATACTCAAGGCCCAAAGGTTTTTGTATTTTTGTTTGTTGTTTTAATCACGCTCAACTTTAACAACAAATCACATATTGGTATTTCTTGTTATTGCTGTACCCTTTTTTATACAAAAAAAAATTCAAATTTTACATCAAGTCCAAACACTTGATTTTTTTTTTTTTTGGTAACAATTTTTTTTTTTTTTGGTAACAAAATACAATGGCTTTGCTGTTGATGAGGGGGTGTGTTACAACTCCTGTATCCTAACATTAGCCACCGGGGTGAATAAAAATCTGCTTTAAAATACAATTGAAACCCAAGCACAAAAATTTGTAAATCTACGAATGCACCTCATGGTGTTTCACTAACAAAAAATTAAAAAAAAAAAAGTAAATGATGGAGAATGGGCACTGGTGGAGGGATGGGTACTGGATCATTGTATAACTGAAATCCAAGCACAAAAATTTGTAAGTCTACAACTGTACCTCATGATGTTTCACTAATAAAAATTTTTAAAAAATAAAATAAAATACGAGTCCATAAGTGCCACCAGGAAGTTAACACTACATTACTACACAGAAATCCAGCTTGTCACAGCCACTACACTTCCCTGCGGCTCCAGAGCCTGGCCTGAATTCTGACGCTACCCCCCCCCCCCCCCCCCCCCACTCCTCCAGTAAGGGAGCCACTAGTCTGTTTCCCTGGCAACCCTTCTCGCCACCGTCCCGCCTCCCAGACGCTCCTCCTCTCGCGAGATGCGCAGGTCTCGTTCTTCGTTAACGCCGGCGCCTCCCGCCGCTCGCCTTCCCCTTCGCGCTGGGCGCCGCGCATGTGCGGTGGGGAGTGGCGCGAGCCCTCGGTTTCCGGCCCAAGAAAATGGTGCGTTTTCGGGGTCGTCTTTGTGCTTCCTGAACGTGGCGATCCCGCGGGTCGTGGGAGCTCGCGACCCCTGCTCGGCGGAGGGTTCAGAGGGCTTCTACCTCAGTAGAGGGGGCGAGAGCCGACGCGGGAGAGAGGAAAGGAGGCGGCTTGGGATGGCCCCCGACGCCGTCGGTGCTGACAGGGCTGCAGCCCCCGGAGCGGGGTGGCCGGGCGGCGGGACCGGGACCTCCTCGCGGGGTCTAGCGACTCCCTCGAGGCGGGGCAGGTCCGGAGATGCGACTGCGAGAGACGCGACTTAGCCTAGCAACGGGGACGGGAGACCCCGCGGGGAGACCCTGACTGGACCCCGGCCGGATTCCCCCTCACACAGGAGAGCGCGCACGCACACACACACACACCACCCCCACTAATTCCCTCGCACACAGGAGCGCGCACATAAACACACACACACCATCACCACCCTGCCACTTCCCCCTCACACAGGAGCGCATGCACACACACACCATCACCACCTAATTCCCTCACACAGGAGCGCACACACAAACACACACACACGCCACCCTCACCTCAGAGCGCACTCACACACACACCATCTCCACCTAATTCCCTCACACAGGAGCGCACGTACGCAAACACACACACACACACACCCCTAATTCCCTCTTACACAGGAGCGCACGTACATACACACACACCATTACCACCCCTGCCACTTTCCCCTCACCTAAGAGCACACTCACACACGCATCATCCCCACCGAATTTTCTCACAGGAGCGCGTGCGCGCGCACACACACACACACACACACACACACACACACACACCATCCCCACCTAATTTTCTCACACGAGCGCACCCACACACACTCCACCACCACCACCCGTGCCAGTTCCCCCTCACACGTGAACACACAAACACGACAACTACCACAGCTACCTAATTCCCCCTCACACGTGAGCAAACATACACATACACACACACACACATACATCTTTTCCAAAGGTCAGCCCTGGGCGTTTCTTTTTTCAGAAACGACCCTCACGCTTGAACACACACACACACACACACACACACCACCCTTCCCAAAGATCAGCCCTGGGCGTTTCTTTTCCCAGAAACGACCGGGCTCTGCGCCATTGATGGGGATGTGGGGCCATAGTTAATGGGGTGGTGTGGGGGTTTGGAGGGGCCTCCTAGGGTTTCCAACCGTGGGCTCCCAACCCTTGGGTCTCTGTGACCTGGTCGTTGTGACATCGTCCAGTACGTCAGCATCCCAGACACCACCGCCCACCTTTAGCCGACAAAACAAGACATTCTTCGTGATTGAAAACGTTACCCTGTGCCCATGAAGTTGTCACGTAGGGGCCTCTGTGCTTACACCCGTTTTAGATGTAAGGCGTTTTAACCAGAAATTGTAAAGGTGAGGAAACCCAGACCGTTTGGGGTTTTGTTGTTCGTTTGTTTTTGTAGGTTTCTTTAGTTACCTTTAGGAAGGACCCAGGTTGGATTTTTGTTAAGTGGGAAAAGTAAGTTTCTTTTGATTAATCTTTGTGCTTTTTTTTATTATTTATTTATTTTTTTGCTTCTGACTAGATGCAGGGGGAGTCAAGTCCTAGTACTTCCCTTATTGACAGAACCATCAGGATGAGAAAAGAAACAGAAGCTAGGAAAGTGGTGTTAGCCTGGGGACTCCTAAATGTGTCTGTGGCTGGAATGATATATACTGAAATGTAAGTTAAAATAATAGTCTGCCACCGCCCCCAACCTCTCAAAAAATAAAGAAAATTTCAAGCCAGTGGTTGATTCCACGGGTTTGTTAACCATCGTGAGTGATGGCGGTTTTTCTCAGCTAAAGGATTTTAATTTTTTTCAGGACTGGAAAATTGATTAGTTCCTATTATAACGTGACATACTGGCCCCTCTGGTATATTGGTAAGTTTTGCCTAATTTAGAATACCAATAAAAAGCAGCTTTTAAGTATAATTCACTTAAGTGCGTATTACTTCATGTAACCAGCATTTGATCACCCACTCACAAGGGAATTGAGGGGAATCAGATCCTGCTCTCATTAGGAACATTCTGTTAGAGGGGAATAATCATATTAGTAAGACAATTCTTGATAGTCACGAGTCTCCTGATGGAAAGTAAGTTTGGGAATGGTTAGGTTTATATTTGTGACTTCTCCCTAAAATGCTCTACTTATCTACATTTTTTTTGATGTGTTCATTTTTCTTTGTGGAGAGCCCTTCTTTGTGGTCCTGGAGGCCCAGATTTCCTCCCAGCAGGGTTGGCGGACCGTGCTGGGGATGAAACCCAGGGTCTGAAACATGCAGAGCATGTGCTCTTAAATCCCAGCTCTGACCTCTTCCTTTTTTTTTAATCATTCGAGACCAACCAGATATTTAGTCCATTGATGCCTTCCTTGTTTTCTTCATCCTTTCTTCTGCCTGCTTTTTTGTCTTAATTCTTTATTAGTCCTTAGATGTACAGAATCCATAAGGCGGTAAGAACAGATGCTCCCAGAAAGGTTGGATAGGTTAGAGAAGATGAAAAGTCAGGTGCACAATACTCTTATCAGTAACAGTATTCTAGACCACAGTGTTTTAAGAGGGAGAAAGAAATAGTGGCTGCCATATAGGCAGGCTGGAGTCTGAAGGGAAATTAGTGACATAGGAGGAGGGAAGTGGACACTGGTGAAGGGGGGTTGGTATTGGACTATTGTATGCCTAATTTAATCATAAATAACTTTGTAACACACAGTGATGTGAGAAATTTTATAGATGAATAGATGGCTGTAAAAATAGAAGCTATTTTAAATAATGAAGGCAAGGTGATATGGCAAGTGAAAGAAGAGTTTTGGAATCTGTAAGCCTAAATTAGACTCATGACTTAACCGTTTGCTCTGGCAAACTTGATTTCTCTGCAACTGCTGGTTAATCTTTTAAGAAAACAATGAAATGTTTGTTACACATGTTCATACATTGAAACTCAGTTTGCCTTGCATATAAAGGACATTCATGAAGTAGTAGCTATTGGGAATTAAAAGATAACTTTGTTTTGCTGTTGATTTGCTAAAACAGTCATTTCCCCTCTCCCTCACCTTTTAAACATAATTATTTTCTTTCAGAGCTTGCCCTTGCATCTCTCTTCAGCCTAAATGCCTTATTTGATTTTTGGAGATATTTCAAATATACGGTGGCACCAACAAGTCTGGTTGTTAGCCCTGGACAGCAGACACTTTTAGGGTTGAAAACAGCTGGTAAGTGTTTAATATCTTTTGCAAAGGTGGGGAAAGGTTAGCAATAAATCTTTCTCAATTTAATTTTCCCTTTTCATAGACTCAGCTGGAAAGGACTTCTAAGGCCATCTGGTTCAACTATATTAAACAGGTCTACAATAAATTTGTCTTAAGACCAATGCTTATCATTCCTGTTCAAATGAATTGAATGGAATTAACATTCAACTATTTCAGGAGACCTTGTCTGTTGTTTAATTACAATTAAAGCTTAATGACTAACTCTTGCTGCACAAACCAGTTTTTTCATTGAGCTCTCTAGAAATGATAGAGAATGTGTCTTTTAGTAATACTTTATGTAACTTAATAAGTAGCATTCCCTTTTTTTAGAGGAAAGAAGCTCACTCCTTTAATGTTTTCATAGAAAGTTCTTTATAGGCGTACACACTTAATTTGTTTTTTCCTTTTCTTCAATTTTTCTTTCTAGTGGTGCAGACTACTCCTCCACATGAACTGGCTACAACCCAAATGCCCCCCTCTCTGCTGCCTTCACCCTCCATTCAGGGTCAGAGTGTGTTGAGTTACAGCCCGTCACGTTCTCCCAGTGCTAGCCCCAAATTCACCACCAACTGCATAACTGGATACAGCCCTCAGCTTCAAGGCCTGTCATCAGGCAGCAGTGGTTCCTACAGCCCAGGAATGACCTACTCACCCATCAGTGCTTATAATAAGGTAATGGCTCTTTTCTCTTGGCCACTCACATTATTTGAGATTTGGAAGTCATTTAGAGAGCCAGAACTTCTCATTTGCTCAAGAGGAAACAGGAACAGTGGGTAATTGACTTGCCTAAATCATCCATTTAAGAGCTGACAATAAAACCCTGATTTCCTGACACCTAGTTAGAAGTTCTTAAGAAAAAGAATCAGCTTTTGTAAAGACAATGATCTGAGGTCATAAAGTAGAGGGTCTTTATGCAGTCTTTAAAATAAAATTGAACTATAGTGCCCCCCTCCCCCTCCAATGATGCTCGAACTCCTGATGCTGAAGTTGCTGGGCTCAAATCTGGGACTCCTGCCTGCAAAGGCTGCATCAAGCCCTCTGAACAGTCCTCCCAGTTGGAAACTATGTTGACTTGACTTTAGTTGCCTGTGTTTTATTTCTCTGCTATTTTCTGTGAATCTTTTGTGTATCCTTATGAAATGCTTTCATCTTCTTAGAGTATTTTCTGAGCTAGAAACTGGATTATTTGGGCTGAAGCAATAACTCAACAGACTGTGTGCTTTGCATGCTAGAGGCCCCGAGTTCTGACCCTGATACAACGTGGTCCCCTGCATTTAGCTGGGGGCAGCTTTGGAGGACAGCGGGATGTTACCCAAAAAACAAAAAACTGATTGTCATGTAGCTTAACACTCTTAAGCATAAACATTTCCCATGGGATGTTGAACCCATTTCAAGTCCCATAGTGAAGTGAGCGTTTTGTTTGGATTTTTAGGCGTGGTAGGAGCAAAATCGACAGAGATGAAAATGTGACTCTGGTTGCAGAATAAGACGATTTCAGGTGTGTTTCTAGTTAGATTAACAGCTCTATAAATACTAGTTAAATGAGCAATGCTAGAATGTCTAGAAATAAAACTGACACATTAACTGTTCCTACTCTCACATAATTTTTTAATGAGAATCTGTATCTGATACTAATGTTGGCAGGTAGTGGAATTTAGAAATTGTTATATAACTTAAATTAAGAGGAAACATTTACATGTATACATACTGTAGTATTGTGGTGCTTCATACATATAGGTGCATTTGACTTTCATTTGTTTGGGGGCCATACCTGCAATGCACCGGGGCTACTACCAGCTCAGTGCTCGGGAGTTGCTTCTGGGGGTGTCCAGGGGACCATGTGGTGCTAGGGATTGAAACTGGCCCCCTGTATATGAAGCGTGTGCTCTCTTTCTTGCTCGGCCAAGTCTCTGGCCCGTTTTATTTATTCATTTGTGTTTGGGCCACACCCAACAGTACTCAGGGCTTACTCAGGGGTTGCTCCAGATGGGCTCGGGTCACCAAACAGACTACCTGGGATTGAACCTGGGTCGACTGTGGGTGCGGCAGGTGCCCTACCCGCTGTACTGTTGCTTCGGCCCCCACCCCATTTTTACTTTTTAATAGCACTTTAGTTTTCATGAGAAAAATACGCTGATTCCTATAGAAAATTAGAAAAATAAGAGAAAACTCAGAGTCCTAGTGGCCATACATAATCTGTGTAATGGTTTCTTATATTCATCCAGTGGCTACCACGTAGCTGACTCTCGAATATTTATTTCCATTTCCTAAAATCAGTTACTAACCTATGTTAAATTGTTCTGTACACAAAGTGCTTGATAAATTTGAGGGAGTCTCCAACAGAATTGTCACTTAACACCCTTAGAAATGTAGAAGATTCTTTCTACTACACTCAATCATTAAACTAATTGTTTTTCTCGAATCTCTATAAACAAGAGAATAAGATGACTTGTAATTTATCTTACGAAAGGCCGTTTAACCAAAATCGAGAATTTCTCATATTTGGCCAGTACTGAAACGTAGCTTAGGGAATAGCTCTGACATAGCTCTGGCTTTGAGCCCTGAAGAGCCCCTCCACCCTTGGCCCCTACCACCATCCCCTTCCCACCCATCTCCGTGCCCCAGTGTGTGGAGCTCGGAAAACAAAAGGACTTTTCTTATCCTTTACCTATTTGTCTTTCAGATTTGTGTTCTCTCGATATTTTTGTCAGGTGGTTTTTTAATTACAGGATTTAAAAATACATGTAAATTTTGTTCACATTTTTAGTAGTCAAGTTATTTTTCTTATGGTTGTGCTGTCCTATATTTAGAGATTTTCTCACTCACTCTAGAGTTGGTTCCTTCTTCCCGACTCCCCATTGGTTTTCTCATTTTGAGTTTTTGCTAAAATTAGTTGATTAGTTGTCCAAATACTCTACGTTACATATTTATTGTCTTTGATGTGTGATTCCTCCATATTATAGGGTCTTATTCCAAACCATTCTCTATTCCCTTAATGTGTCTGTTTTTGTACTTCATGTTAGGGCAGTTTCAGCTGTAGCCGTGTAAGAAAGTTAACCAAAAAGTCAAATATTATTACTTGTTTTCCTTCAAAACTGAGGAATTTATAGTTTATTTTTATCTATAACTAGTTATACCTACACCAAAATACAAAGTATTTTAAAAGGAACACTCTTTTCTTTCTTCAATTCACTTTTTTTCTAGTCATCTCTTCTGTCTGCCTTGTGCATTGTTGCATTTAGACATTAAATGGAAAAAATAATAAATCACGTTTCACCTTATTAATCTTTCTTGTTTTAAAACCTTAAAAGATATATCAAGAAAACATCAAAAGAAAATGCAGGTGGCCGGGAATGTGGCTCACTTGTAGAGCACATGTCTCCCATATGTGAGGCCTTAGTTGCTGTCCCTTCCCCCAAAAAATGCAGGTAACAAATTTTTGTTAGGAAAACACAAAACTAAAAGAAGTGGCAGAATTAGTACCAATGTATGATTTTAAGGAGAGAGAACCATATGGTACAAAAGGATACTTTTGGTGAGGAAAGAAAAAAATTCATAATGATATTTTATGGTTCTTATACATTGAGTAATTGGCATAAATTATTAAGCAAAAACTTTTAAAACTATAAAGAAAAATTAAAGCAATTATAGTGGAAGACTTTAGCATTATCAATTTCTGTCCAGTATAGTAATTATAAGTATTTACTTGAAAAGTTTATATTTAGTAAAATTATATTGGTCACCAAAGTATTCCTAGAAATAAATATGCATTTCTTTCTATCAAGACACAAAATGAGAGGGCCCGGAACTATAGTACAATGGGTAAGGTGTTTGTCTTGCATGCGGCCAGCCCAGGTTCAATCCCAGCATCCCATGTGGTCTCCCAAGCACCTCCAAGGGTTTCCACTGACCATCGCCAGGTGTGGTCCCTAAACAAAAGAAAAGACATGAAATTAGAAATGAAATCGGACTGGAGAGTGTGTTCAGGGTAAAACACTTGCTTGAATGCCCATAACCCAGGTACCCATCCCCTGTATCCGATTTAATCTTCAGCCACTGCCAGAAGTAATTCTTCAGTACAGAGCCACTGAGCAACATGACCCAAAAATTTTTAAAAAATGATGATAGAAATAAAATTAGAAATCCTATGACTTACAAATATGGTAAAAAAATAAGGATTTAGACATTTTCAGCCTTAGAACATTTTCTTAGATAAAAAGATTTTATTCGGGGTATATAAAATCATAAAGATCTTAATTATGCAATAATACAGCAGGTAGAGCTCTTGCCTTGCGTGCACCTGACCCAGGTTCGATTCCCCAGAATCCCATATAGTCCCCAGAACACCTCGGATGTGGTCCCAAAACAAAATATATTTTCTTCCCTCAGTAATGTATCATGTATATATGTAATTTCAGTCAGTTCAATACACCTATTTTTTTTATCAGCTTATTATGGAGGTTACTCATTGAGTTTAAAGACTGTTTAGAAAAATTAATGAAGCAAGAAAATTTTGAGCAAGAGTTGAGCCCCTTGAGCAATAATAAACCAATTAATGAAACAACAGCCCTGATAATAGTTATATAAGGATTCCATATCTTAATTAAGATAAAAGATAATATGAAACTGCTTCAGCATTTTTATTTTTAATCATTAAATAAAAAATCTGTTACTCCTTTATTTTTTTTTACAAACTAAAAGATAGTGAAACTCTAATAGGAAAAGTACCAATGTAACTAGAGTAAATAATTCATAAAATAGGTAAAACAGTATCTAATAATTGTGTATTTTTAAATATTTCAGTGTAAGTAAGAAAATGAACATTAAGTGTATTTTTTAAATGTTATATCTATCAAGCATTTTAAAGTGAGACTGTCGATAAACGTCAAAATGGGTCTTCTCTATAGTTGTTTTTTTTTTTTCTTTTTGGGTCACACCTGGCAATGCACAGGGGTTACTCCTGGCTCTGCACTCAGGAGTTACTCCTGGCGGTGCTCAGGGGACCATATGGGATGCTGGGAATCGAATCCAGGTCGACCGCGTGCAAGGCAAACGCCCTACCGGCTGTGCTATCTCTCTAGCCCCCCCTATAGTTTTTTCTTATCAGACTATTGAGAATACTAAGTTTTCATGTAACAATGTAGTACTATTTAAAATGTTCATATGCTTTTATAAAAGCATTTCAACTGTAGAAATTTCCCAAGAGAAATTATCAGGAAGTGGGCAGGAGCAATACTACAACTGCTTGCTTTGCATATGGCCAACCTGAGTTTGATCTCTGGCATATGATTCCCTGAGCCTGCCCGGAGTAAACCCTGAGGACTACAGGCTGCGATCCCAAGACAAAAAAAGATTAGAAATTATGGATTTATATATAGACCTAGACATAGCAATTGTAGACAATCCAGATGTGTAGAATAAGAAAATATAAAAATAAATATGGTATATTTGTAAAATGAAATATGTAAAGAGTCACTGTCCTCCCGTTGTTCATTGATTTTCTCGAGCGGGCCCAGTAACGTCTCTATCATGAGACTTTGTTGTTACTTTGGCATATCGAATACGTCACAAGATGCTTGCCAGGCTTTGCCGTGCAGGCAAAATACTCTCAGTAGCTTGCTGGGCTCTCCAAGAGGGGAGGAGGAATCGAACTCGGGTCGGCCGTGTTGGCTGCATGCAAGGCAAACACCCTATCCACTGTGCTATCACTCCAGCCCATATAAAGAGTAATGTTTAGAAAGTTTTTTTTGTTCTTAACCAATAATATGATTAACTTTGGTTGGGGGGGTAGGAGTTGGGCCTACCTGCCTTGGGTTATTCCTGGCAGTGCTCAGGGGAACCATATGTAGTATGGGGGAATCAGACCTTGGCCAACTGCATGCAAGGCAAGTGCCCTGACCCCTGCGCTATCCTGCCCAAAATTTTTTCTTACTGATCTATCTTCCAGTTTTTGTGATGTACAGTACTGTCATAAATCAGAGGGACCCAGATCCTCTTCCAGCCCACCCACGCCCTTGGCAGACTCATTTCTTTAGGCCTAGTGCCGGACACTCCTACCATTAGCTGTTTTCCCTTACTGTATTTCTTTATATTCCATAGATGAGAGAAAATTCTCTCTCTCTCTCTCTCTCTCTCTCTCTCTCTCTCTCTCTCTCTCTCTCTCCCCCCCTCTCCCCATCCACTTGATAGCAAATTGTAGGAGATAGATATATATATGTATATATATATATATATATATAGTATTCCATTGTGTACATATACCACAGTTTCTTGATCTGCTCTCTGTTCTGGAACACAAGTTTTTTTCCAACATGGCTGTTGTGAATAGCACTATAGCACTGTCCCGTTGTTCATCAGTTTGCTCGAGTGGGCCCAGTAGTGTCTCCATTGTGAGACTTCTTGTTACTGTGTTTGGCATATTGAATATGTCACGAGGAGCTTGCCAGGCTTTGCTGTGTGGGCGAGATACTCTCAGTAGCTTGCTGGGCTCTCCAAGAGGGGCAGAGGAATTGAACCCGGCTCTGCTGGGCCGGCCATGTGCAAGGCAAACGCCCTACCACTGTGCTAGCAGTACAATGTATATTGCTATTTTTAATAGTAGACTTTTAGAATAGTATGTTCACAAATTGAGAGTAAGGGCTGAGATTTCACAGTTTTATTCATGATCAAAATACTTTACTACAGTGGTACCATTGTTGGAGTTACTTAACTTATTGTGTTAACACATTATTACATGATTCCAGAGTTTATTTAGGGCTTACTCTCTAACCCCCGGCCCCCCGCTCTCCCTCCCCCCCACACTCACCCTGGCAAAGCTCAGGGGTTACTCCAGGGTCTACAGTCAGGAATTACTCTCTGGGGATGAGGGATCAAACCAGGTCAGCTGCTTGCAAGGAAGCAGTTGTGCTCTACCCTCTGTGTTCTCCTTAGCCCCCAGGGCTTACTCTTTATGCTGAATGATTATCTAAGGATACAGTCTCATGCTATTCTATCACTTGACTGTCCTAAGAACCTTTTGTGTTCCGCCTGTTCATTTTTGCCTGTTCATTTTCCTCCAGCCCAGTCCCTTATCTTTGTAACGAATTTTATAGTCACCCTCTCTAGAATAATAATACAGTTGAACTACCCTTTTCAAATTAGCATTTTTCAGTAATGTTTCCTCTGTTTTTCTGCAACTTGATAATGCATAAAGGTAAAGGCCCTCCTATTGATCGTCGATTTGCTCGAGCGGGCCCAGTAACGTCTCCATTGGAGACTTTGTTGTTACTGTGTCTGGCATATCGAATACTCTGGTAGCTTGCCGGGCTCTCTGAGAGGGGCGGAGGAATCGAACTCGGATCGGCCATGTTGGCCGCTTGTAAGGCGAATGCCCTACCGCTGTGCTATCGCTCTTTTCAGTGTTGTATAATATTTTATTGTCCACATAGACCCCTATTATATTTTCTCATTCTCCTCTGAAAGATATCTTTGTTGCATCCAAGTTTATTTTTCTTTTGTTTTGTTTTAATTTTTATTAGTGAAACACCATGAGGTACAGTTGTAGACTTACAAATTCTTGTGCTTGCGTTTCAATTATACAATGATCAAGTACCCATCCCTCCACCAGTGCCCATTTTCCACCACCACGTATCTCAGTATCCCTCCCACCCCCCATCCCCCCAATCCCACCATGCCTCTGTGGCAGGGCATTCCCTTTTGTTCTCTCTCTCCTTTTGGGTGCTGTGGTTTGCAAAAGAGGCATTGAGTGGCAGTCATGTTCGGTCTAATAGTCTACTTTCAGCATGCTTCTCCCATCCTGGGAGGATCCTCCCAACACCCTTTATTTGGTGCTCCCTTCTCTATCTGAGCTCCCTTTTCTCCTAGCATGTGTGGCTGGCCTCAAAATCCTCCTGGCACTTACCTCGGCTATTCTTGGGTGTTAGTCTCCTATTTTGTTACCTTATGTTCCCCAGATGAAGTTGCATCCAAGTTTTCGTCATCATAACACAGCAGTGTGAGTTCACAGTATGGTTGCACGATGCATTCAGTGCCCGAGAGCCGCCTTCCTAGACCTCCCCAGCAGAGGAATAAAGAGACAGGGGACCATAGACTGATGATTAAAATGGTCCATTTAATAGCAGAGTTCTTAGCATACTTATAGAACTTCTGAGGGGGGGCGGTCAAGGTATAGGACTACGCGTAGGTGTGATTGATCATTTACAGAGGTAAAGCATTTTGACAGATGCAGTTCTCTTGGAATTGACTCAAAGAGATGCTCTATCTCCCAGAGACATCTATATTGCTTTTCTCTTTCTTTTAAATTAAACAAGTTTACTTCTTATTAGCACTTACAGTTATTTGGATAAACACAGTAAGAGATACAGATTTCAAAACTTAGTTCTCTGGGCTCCAAGGGTCTGAGGGCAAGCACAAGTCTTTCCCCCCCCGCCCCCTTTTTGGGTCACACCCAGCGATGCACGGGGGTTACTCCTGGCTCTGCACTCAGGAATCACTCCTGGCGGTGCTCAAGGAACCATATGGGATGCTGGGAATCGAACCCAGGTTGGCCGAGTGCAAGGCAAACACCCTACCTGCTGTGCTATTGCTCCAGCCCCCAAGTCTTTTACCATAAATCCCAGACTAAGTCCTCAATCTGGTTCAGCGTTTCCTTCCCCAGGGGGTCCTGTCTCTTAAGTCATAACGGTTTGCATCAAGACCATGCTTTTTGCCTGCCTTAGAGGCCGGGGGGGGGGGGGGGGGGGCAGGGTCGGTGATGGGAGGGGAAACTGGAGACACTGGTCCTGGGAAATGTGCATTGGTTGAGGGATTGTTGTTGGAACACTGTATGATTGAAACCTAGTCATGTACAACTTTGTTAGGATCTGTCTCACAGTGATTCAACTTTTAAAACATTGAAAAATAAAAAGGACCATGCTTTTATGCCTTCTGAACTGTCCCATTTCGATGCCAGGGGTAGGTTTGGTGCTCGCCTATGTCTATCCAATTTCCCGGCAGGACCACCCTTTTTGGGGTAGTAGGAAGGACAGCAACCGAAACCTCAGTCAAGCCTGAGATGGATATGCTCAGGAATAAGATATATTTCAGAGTTTGACTTATAAGTCAAACCTTGTAAGTAACCAACCTGAACTTGGGAAATGGTGACAATGAGACATAAAGCACAAAGGAAAGGTTAAAGATAAACTTAGGAGATTAGGGCTGCTCATGAGAGCACTATAAGCTTCTCCGAGGGAGGAAAAGGGGCAATTCATTGATGAAATCTAAAACACTTGGGATTAATATCCAACAAGCAGCTACATTCCTCTGCAAGATTTTGATAGAAATAAGCTTATAATTCCCTTGGGCCAATAACCAAGGAGCATGATTGCTGGGCCATATGGGGAGGTAGGTTCTGTTTCCTCAGAACTGCCTGACTTTCTGTGCCCCTTGCTGCATTCCTGCCAACAGTGAATGAGAGTTCCTATTGCTTCACCTGCTCCCCAGCATTTGGTGGGGTCAGTGTTGTGGAATTTGGCCCAATTGTTGTATTACTTTTTAAAAAGATACAATCAGAACCAAAAAAACACTGTGAAAGAAAGCTGCAATCATTTTTGTTTTGTATAGTTGGGAAGCTTTAGCCTCTCTCCTCCTTCTCCGTACCCTGCCACCGTTGGACCTGTGGAGAGCAGCGGCCTGAGATCTCGCTACCGGTCTCCACCCAGTGTGTACAACTCCCCTACCGACAAAGAAGGTTATATGACGGACCTGCGAACGCTGAATTCTTTCCTTAGATGTGAAGAGGAAAAGCAGCATAGAGTTAAGCTGGGTTTGTATGTCTTTTATTTTATTCACATACAGTGTACATTCTTTGGGAATCACTGCGCATTATCCTTAACCTGTAGTTTTCATTACTTTTATACCTTCTATAGGTTTTAAGTGTCTTCTGATTATAATATGTCTTGTTTAGCTTTGGAGAGAGACAGAGTTGTTTAAATGTAATATGATTTATACAGTCAGAATGCAGGTTCGCACAATGGAGGAGAAAAGTGGAGTGAAACAGAACTCGGACTTGTCATCTGCAGTAGAATTGAAAGCTTTTTCAGATGGTACAAGTCATCATTTCTTCCTTACAGTTGAGGTTGCCATAATTTTTGGAAGTACTGCATAGTGAAGCTTGCTGGAATGATAGCTGTCTCTGTCCAGGCCATCCTTTGCCAGGTCGGGTCCAGGAAGCAAGTCCTTACCCTGGGGTGCTGCTGTTTACGACCAGTTTTTAGAACTTTTCTTTAGTTTGTGTTGGAAAACTATGTTAGCAAGTCTTAATCTATTTGGAGTGGATCTGATTATTACAAAGTGAATTATTTCAAACCAAATTACATTATTGAGCAAAGTAATGATTTCTAGCCCACAGGAGCTAAGCAAGGACACATTAGGTGCCCAAGCATTGGTGCCAGGACAAAGCCAGTTACCGGGGCCGTGATTCTTTGTGTCACTTAAAATTTTGCCATTAATTTTTAATTTAATTTTGGCTGAAAGAGCCATAGATGTCAAGGAAACAAATCAGTATTATCTTATTTGTTGATGCAAGCTTTTTCTTTTTTTTCAAATTCTGGGATACTTCAAGTTTGCTGCAATTTTTTTTAAAAAACATCCAGAGTACTTGAAATTTGATATTTTTGTCATAGCTGAGCTTGTTCTTACTTTTATTTTTTGACTTTTAGGGGTTGTTTAGAAGGATTGTCTTTCTTATGTGGAACTGTACAGCTCTTAGTTTTCAAACCTGGAATGAAAGGCATGTTTGTCACTTGGGTTTTTTTTCTAATTGTACGATGGTTAAAGATTTTGATCCGATCCTTATTTTTTGATACCATATTTAGATTCTTAGTATAGGGCTGGGGGTGTCTCTCAGTGATAAAGTGCATTCCTGAGACCTCACAGCCTAACACCTATCACCAAAAAAATAATAAATCTAGTTCTCAGCTTAAAAAAAAAAGAATGCCTTATTTCTAAGTATTGGGCTCCATATTTGTTGACTCAGGCTTTTTGTTGGTGTTCTTAAATTCTTCACCTTACTAATACTTATTTGCTTGTTAGTTACTAAGAATGTTCATTAAAAGCTCCCCTTGTTGTCTTCCATTAAATATTTCTCTTAATTCTATCACAATAGCTAAATATATATAAGATCTTGTTATGTACATGTCAACTTGGAATAATTGATAGTATTGGAGCAGGAGCAGTAGAATAGCAGGTAGGGTGCATGCCTTGCTTCAAGTCCCAACACACCATATGATCCCCGGAGCCCACCAAGAGCCAGGAGTGATCCCTGAGCACAGAGCCAAGAGTAATCCCTGAGTACCTCCAGGTGTAGTCCCCAAAACAAAAAATAGTATCGATAGTGTTACAGCAATTAGTCCTTTATCTCTTAGGCTTTTTGCCTTTGGTTTTATTTTTTCTGACATTAACACATCCATACTAATCTATTGGTTACTGTTTACCTCATATAATTATATCCATCCTGTATATTTTTTTCTTTAACACTTTCCTCTCTACTTAGGTTTTAGGTAGTGAAGTATTTTTCACAAGTTAATCTGTAAATAATATGTGGGAGGGGAGGCTAAATCTATAAATAAACTATTCACCATCAAATTTTGACTTGACTAGTTTTAATCTTTTGTTATTTTTCAGGGGGGGGTGCAGTTACTTAGCTATGCTCAGAGCTTACTCCTGGTTCTGTGCTCAGGGACTTCATTTCTGGTAATATACAGGGGACCTTTTGTGTTGCTGGGATCAAACCCGTGTCGACTGCATGCAGGGCAGGTGCCTAGCTCCTGTGCAAGGCAAGCGCCTGAGCTGCTGTACCATCTCTCAGGCCCCAGTCTAGGGATTTTAAAGAATGACTAAGTTTCTCTGTTCACCTGGTGCCAGTGGAGAGATAACTTTGATACCAACTGAAAAAGTGTCCCAGTCAGTTTTCTAATGGGCCCTCTGCCAGGTGCAGGAAATTGAAATGGTGGAAGAGTCAATCCAGCTCTCTATCTCTTCAACCCATTCTTTTGGTTTTGGTTTTGGTTTTTGGTCACACCCGGCGGTTCTCAGAAGTTATTCTGACTGTGCTCAGAAATTTTCCTTGGTGGTGCTCAAGGGACCATACGGGGTGCCAGGCATCAAATCCAGATCAACCGCATGCTAGACAAATGCCCTACCTACTGGGATATATCTCTTGTCCCCTCCACAACCCATAATATCATTTCATGACAGCGGTTTTATTTTGTTATTTTTGTGTGGTTGTGAAGTATCGATATTTTAGTAATTAAATGCCAATGTCCTGAATAAGTATTCTCTGTCACTGAAGACCTTCCACTTACTCAGTCACTATGCTAGATACTCAAGGGGAAATACCCTCAAAGATCTCAAATTCTTGTTGGGACAAGATACAAACTATAACCTGTAAAGGGTGATTAAAGACTCTGTAGAGGATTCTGTAGGATTAGGTCCCTATATGTAGCTATTTATATGGCAGAGTTAATTTACCGAGTTAAAGGTGTAACCAGTCTGGTTCAGTACAACGAGGAGACACTGCAGGCTATAAATGGAATGCAGTGTATGCTGGGGGAAAGAAAAAAAACAGTTTATTTTGAGGAGGCTATAGTTATCCTGTTCAGAAGGAAATTTGTAAGAATGCAAGCAAGGAACTTCCTTCCACCATTTATTTCCTGAAGATATTTGTCGTTTGTTCATTTCCCACTGAGTCTTTGGAAGTTTTAGAGAATGAAACACAACAAAAACAAAATTTTAACCACTTGTGGTTCTTGTGACTTTTATATTAATGCTGCTCAGGAAATGTTCTTTCTTGTTTTTAGCACAAGCATCTATGTCTTCTGGGAGCTGGGGGAGGGGGCTGGAGAGGACGACGAGAAGGAAATGCCTCTTGAGGCTTGGTCTTCCCTGGGGTTAGGAGTTGAAAGATCCCTGGTGGTGCCGGGGGGACCTTCTGTGTGGCAGAACCGTACCAGATGGGATGCAGGATGCAGAGCAAGCTCCTGAAGAACGGTCTTTCTTGAAGGCCATTGCCATTGCAGGGAACCTAGAGCACACCCTGAGGCCAGCCAGGAGCTAGTTCTCAAATAGCTTCTGCAACTGTCTCCACCTTCATTATTGCAGGGAGTCCAGATTCTACATCACCTTCCACCAGCCCTACTTTCTGGAACTACAGTCGGTCTGTGGGAGATTATGCACAGACTTTAAAGAAGTTTCAGTATCAGCTTGCCTGTAGATCACAGGCCCCATGTGCTAACAAAGATGAAGCTGATCTCAGCTCTAAACAAGCAGCAGAGGAGGTGAGTGTAAAGTAAAAAAGACTTGATATTGGCAGTTTATAAATGGTTAGAAACTTCACCTTGGAGCATTTTTCTCCCTTATCACTTCAACTCTTACTGGTAAGAAACATCATTCTAGCACAAGTTAAACAGGGGAGGTTCCTCTCTCTCTCACTTAGATACCTAAAACTGAACCATACGTTTTACTTGGGGTGGGAGGGAAGGTGGAGGGTTTAGACTACGACTCGGTAGTACTAAGGGCTTACTCCAGACTCTGCTCAGTGATCACTTCTGGCAATTGGGGACCGTATATGGAACCAAGGATCAAACCTGGGTCAGCTGCGCACAAGGCAAATGTCTTAACATGCTGTACTGTTTCTCCAGCCCATATCTCACCCTTATGACACACAGTTCACATTAATGTACTGCAGAAAACATTATCTACATTCATTAGAAAAGTACTCTAAGCTCTATCGTTAAATTTGACACATAAAAGACTCCTGCTTTTCTGTTGTTGGCTTTTGATCTAGACCTGGTAGGATTCAGGGGCATTCCTGGCTCAATGCTGGGTGGGTGGGGGGTCACTCCTGGTAGAACATGGGGAGCATGTGACGCCTGGACGTCCCACCAGCAAAACATGTGTTCTAACCCTATGAGCTATCTCCCCAGCCCAAGATTTTGGTCTTTAAAATATCTTTTAAAGAGCGGTGTGATAGTATATAAAGTAGGGTACTTGCCTGCACATGTCCACATGTCAAACCTGGGTTTGATCACCCAATCTCCCAAATGCCAATTAGGAGTGATCCTTAAGTGCAGAGCCAGGAATAGTCCCTGGAGCACTACTGAGTGTGGCCCCCAAACAAAACAAAATACATTTGGATTAAACATTTGTTTGACAACCTGTAATTCATTGATTTGGTACAGAATTTTTCTTTCATTCTTAAAAACAAATGTTTTTTAAAAAACATCAACATGCGCCAGATAGTACAACAGGTAGGGCATTTGCCTTGCGTGCGATCAACCTGAGTTCAATCCCTGACATTCCGTGTAGTCCCCCAAGTACCACCAGGAGTGATTTCTGAGTGCAGAGCCTGGAGTAACCCCTGAGCATCACTGGATGTGACCCAAAAAGCAAAAAAAAAAGTCAACATAAGTAATTTGGGTGGGGGGTGGGGGGCACATCTGGCAGTGCTCAGGAATTACTCCTGGCTGTGCACTCAGGAATCACTCCTGGCAGATTCAGGGAACCGTATGGGATGCTTGGAATTGAACCCAGGTCAGACGCATGCAAAGCACATGCCCTACTCGCTGTACTATCACTCCAGCCCTATTAAGTAATTTTATATATCTGTAATTTGTATTTGTGCATGGGGCCAGGGAGATGGCTTCATGGGCTGGAGTGCATGCCCGGCTTTCATGAGACCCCAAGTTAATCCCTGGTACTGCAGTGTCCACCCCTCACACCGTACCACTGGGTATGTATGACCCAGGTGGCCCACAGCACCTCTGGGCTCAAGCCAGGCCCCTCTCAGTGAACCTCATAGCTGGGCCCTCACACTGAATCCTCAAGCCTGCACTGCAGGGTTGAGTATCCTAGGGAGGGCCCCTGGACCCCTGAGTACTGCTGAGGAGGCCCCATGTGCAGGGTTAGTACCTGGGGCCAGGAGAGATGGCATAACAGGAAAGCACTTGCCTTTTACTAAACTGACACAAGTTCCATCCCCAGCATCCCATGTGGTCTGTCAAGCACAAAGCCAATGGTAAACCCTGAGCACCACCAGATGTGGCCCAAAAACCAATGTGTGTGTGTGTGTAATATAATATCTGTACATGAATAGTAGCCAAGTAAGCAACAGTATTATTTCATGTATTTGTTTAGGGCAGGGGAAAAATGATTTATGGTATAATTTTTCCTAATTGTACGTTCTAAACTTATTTTTAATAGGTTTGGGCAAGAGTGACTATGAATAGACAACTTACTGAGCATATGGATTCATGGACAGCGAAATTCAGAAATGTAAGTTTTGACACTGTTTTGGGCACAGTTATGCTTGTTAATATCAGGTATGTTGTTAGTATATCCATTAGGGTGGTTAGTTACTAGACTGTCCAAATTATTAGAAGAAGAATGTGGGGGCCAGGGAGATAGCTCTGAGGGCCGGCACACATTCAGGAGCCCCAGGTAAACTCCCCAGTACCCCGAAGCACCACCAAGCATGACCCAAGACAGAAACTGAAACAGAAACTGGAGAGAAAGCACGGCGGGTTGGGCGTTTGCCTTGCACACGGGCCACCCGGGTTTGACTCCCAGCATCCCATATGGTCCCCTGAGCACCGCCAGGAGTAACTCCTGAGTGCAGAGCCAGGAGTAACCCCTGTGCATCTCCAAGTGTGACACAAAAAGAAAAAAAAAAGAAAAAGAAAAAAAAGAAACTGAAACAAATACAAAAGTGGATTGTTGATCATACCTATATCCAAGTTAGCTTGACATTGTTATGTTTTCGTAGATTATTTTTACTCCACACTTAGGAAATGAGTAAACTTCCCAAGGAATGAAAGAATCTTTTCCCTTTTTCCAACATCTCAACTTTCATTTTCACAATTTTTTTTGTCAGAGCTTATTGCATGTCTAGAATTATGACAGAAACAAAAATGAGACCCAACCTTCAGAAAACTTCTGATTTAGGAGCTTGAGAAACAGTACAGAGGGTAGGGCATTTGCCTGGCATGCGGCCGACCCAAGTTTGATCCCTGGCATCCCATACCGTCCCCCAAGCAACTCTAGGAGTAATTCCTGAGTGCAGAGCCAGCAGTAACTTCTGAGCATCACTGGGTGTGACACCCCCTCCACCCCAAGAAAAGAAAACTTGAGAGTTAGAGAAGATAGTGCTGCAGGGAACTAGTGCAAGCTGTCGGTTTCCTCCATTTCTCTCAAGCGGTGACCGGAAAGGGGGCCTATGCTGCATGCAGAGCAAGTGAGATGCTTGTTCAAGGGCTGCTCCTTCCTCCTGCTCCCCACGCCACATTCTTCTCTGTAGAGCTTGCTGTTTCCACTGCATTCTGCCTCAACCACATCCATCCATCCTGCATCGTCTAGGATATTGAGCTCAGCTGTGATCTTGACTCAGCGTCCCTTCAGTAGACTATACCATAGAGAGAGGGCTGACAGTAACGGTTGTGTTATTGTACCAGAAACGTGGAGAGCTTTGGGGTCTACAGCTAGCTCTAGGCTGTGGAGGGGGCGGGGGGGGACACTTTTGTCAGTGCTTAGGAGACAGTGCAGTGCTAGGGGTGGAATCTCAACCCTCGGCTTGCAGAGTATGCACTCCAGCCCTTCGGTTCCTGGGCAGCTGTTTGGTCGGGGTGGTGGTTTTTAGTTTGGATACCACACCCAGGTGTGCTTAGGGTTTAGTCCTAACTGCTCAGATTGTTGGGGATCAAACTGAGGTGAGCCGCATGTAAGGAATCATCTTACCCTGTACTCTCTCTCTCTGCCTGTTGGGCTCCTTCAGAGGATCCCTCCTCCCACCCCAACCACTCCTCCTCCATTTCTGGGCCACATCTGGGGGTGCACAAGACTTGGGGGACCATATCAGGGGGCTGAGGATCAAACTCGGGTTAGCTGTGTTAAAGGGAAGTGCCCTACCTGCTGTTCTATTCCTCTAGCATATTTAGAACTTTTTTTTTTTTAATTAAAAAATTTTAGAGGATATTGTAGATTTGGGTGTGGAGCGATAGCACAGCAGGTAGGGCATTTGCCTTGCACACGGCCAACCCAGGTTCGATTCCTCCGTCCCTCTCAGACAGCCCGGCAAGCTGCCGAGAGTATCCCGCCCGCACATCAGAGCTTGGCAAGTTCCCCGTGGCATATTCAATATGTCAAAAGTAGTAACAGGTCTCACAATGGAGATGTTACTGGTGCCCGCTCGAGCAAATCCATGAACAATGGAAGGACGGTGCAGTGCGCTGCTGTTGTAGATGTGCGCTTCACCTGAAACTTCTCATCCTCCTGTTTTATGGGTGGACATAGTGATAGTTAGACTTGACTTGCCACACACACATAAAATTAAAATGCAAGATTACAGAAGGTGTTTCTTTGGACAGTCATTTCACACACAGATGAGCTTGATGGTAGTTATGCAAAGCAGCATTTGCATCTCCTAGGTCTAAAGATATATTGCAGTATTCACAAACTTTCTTCAAAGACAATCTGTTTTCCACATGATCTGGAAATTGGGTGAACCTGCTAAGAATTATTTACTTGAAAAACTGATCACAAGTCAATATAAACAACATATAAACAAATGTGTGAATAACTACTCTAGAATTGTAGCCTGAAGATTATTCTTTTAGCTAAGTATCATAATCATGAGAAAAGTTCAAGAAGAAAAGATCCAGCTGAAAGTTTTATATTCAGAGAAAAGAGAAGGTGCAGTTTATAAGATGTAGCTAACTTAACCTCTGCTAGCCTTTTACTTAACTCTGGACCCCAGGTAGCTGCCGTTCATTCTGTTGCATTGTTCTCTGTTAAGATTCAGGTGCAAGACAATAAAAGAATTCTTTAAGTTGCATGAAAATAATTTTTTGAGAAATCATTTGAATCGTGTATTTAAGATCTTTCTCATTTTTTTCAGTGGGTCAATGAGACGATATTGGTGCCACTTGTACAAGAGATTGAGTCTGTCAGCACTCAGATGAGACGGATGGGTTGTCCAGAACTGCAAATCGGAGGTCTGTGAAATTAAAGCCCAGCATTTGGTTTACTGCTAATGAATCTGCCAAATGGAAAATCTCTTTTATGAGTTGTCCAATAACTTTCTGTTATCTTGAGGTGAAAAAAGAAATTATAGTATGAGGTTTTTCTCTATAGTATTGGGGGGAGGGATCCAACTAAAATATTTTTATTGAGATACAATTTACCATGCAAGTAAATTGAGATACAATTTACCATGCAAGTAAATTTACCAAGTCTTCAGTCCGAAGGTTTCGATTACACAATCAAATTCAGAACATTTCAACACCCCAAACAAACCCTATACCTGTTGCGGTCGTCTCCTGTTTCACACTGCCGTCCTTCTGCAGCCCTAACACCAAATTCATCTCTGTGGATTAGTGGTCCCAGGTGGATCTGACTGTAGCTTTTGCAGTGTTGTGTCATGTGTAGAATTGTGGAAATGTGGCCACCTTCCCTTAAATGGTAAGCGCCAAATGACGGCTGATGCAAATTGTTACGATGAACTCTTCCGTGCTTTCATTTTTTTCCTTCAACAGTTATTGAGCACCTGCTGTGTACTTGGTCCTATTCTAGGGTTTAGGATTAGCAGTGAGCAGAAAAGCTTTCCAGAGATAGTAAGCAAGATCAGTAAGATTGTGATTAGGGCGCGGAGGGAAGAGGGACTAGTGAAGGGTGTGGTCACTGTCTAGGGGAGTGGGGGTCAGGGAAGATTTCTCTGGCTTGGAGGGAAGACCAGGACTCGATGGGGAAGCACTTCTGGAGTTGTGGAGACGCGTGTGGGTGACCTGTGTGCGCGTGCTCTTCCCCCAGAGGCCAGCATCACGAGCCTGAAGCAGGCTGCTCTAGTCAAAGCCCCGCTCATCCCAACTCTCAACACCATCGTGCAGTACCTCGACCTCACACCCAACCAGGAGTATTTGGTTGAGAGGATCAAAGGTAACTTGATTTGAAGAGGAAAAGAACAAAAGCCTTTGTCAGTCCTTGAAGATTTCATAAGTAAAGATAATGAGGGAAAATTATATCTTAAAAAATTACGAATATCACTTAAGTAGTATGATTTTATAAAATACAAAGATGTTTTAATTGCGGCTTACTTGGACAGCTTTTGACTTTATTATATGCTAGGAATTGTCAAAATAATGTAGTTAGCCCTGAGTGCATAATTAATGGTTTTAATTTATGTATGTAGGGAAACACATGAGCTCACTGGGCTGAAGTGACTCTTCGACTCGTTCTCTCAAAGTGCCATCAGGACATTGTTTTATAATTGCTGCCCAATGATCCTTGTTTCTTTCGATTTTTTAACTTTTAAAATGTTCCTTATTTTTTTATCATTTATTATTATTGGGGAGAAATATAATCTACTGAGAAAACTGATGAGAATTTGCTATTTAGGTTTGCCACAAGTCTTAATTTGAAAATGTTACTCTCTCTAGCTGTGGGCCAGTTGAGACATAAGCATTTGTTGTGACTTTAATAAGAAAACGTGGAGCTGGGGCAATAGCACAGCGGGTAGGACGTTTGCCTTGCACGCGGCCGACCCGAGTTCGATTCCCAGCATTCCATATGGTCCCCTGAGCACCGCCAGGGGTAATTCCTAAGTGCAGAACCAGGAGTAACCCCTGTGCTTCGCCAGGTGTGACCCAAAAAGCAAAAAAAAAAAAAAGTGCGTAATAATTCACATACACAGTAGAAAGAACGTACAGCAGAGATTGCTCACTTTCCTCTCCGCTCTCCTTGCCTTGTCCCAGCCCCCGCTCCTGCCTGGGCTCTCTGCGCCGCCCCAGCCACGTCCTCCCTTGTCTGATTTGAAGCATATTCTCTTGATTCTCATTAGCACACCTGGGAATATCTCTGTATGTATAGCCAAAAGAGAAAATCAACTCTCATAATATATAATGCTTCCAGCTAGTTTATTTGAATTGGCATTCAATTTCTGTGCAAGTTATTAGTTGGTAGATTTGCTTCTTCTAAACTATAGGATTCCCTGTTTGGGAGCTGCGTGGGGTGGGAGTCATGTTACATCACACCGCAGGCTGAGGCTACTCCCAGCACAGTGCCAGGGACTAAGCCCCAGGCTCCAGCCAGCAAAGCCTGAACTCCAGCCTTTGCCCCATCTCCCCAGCCCCAACATTGCCTCAGAGGTAGCAAGGTATTTTACATCAAAAAAAAGGTATAGGTCTGGAGTTGTTTTTGATTTTTGTTTCTTGTTTTGGCAGGGGGTAGGTGTATGCATGCACATTTGAAGTTTTCTATAAAGTATTAATTGTCAGCTATACCAGAGGCTTGGAAGAATACTGCCAGCACCGTGTAGGTCATCTAGAGAGACCAGTTACCAGTATTTTGCCATATTTGATTATCTCTGCATGTATATGCACACGCAGTTACCAACTCTACTGCCAACATCATTACTCTTTCAGATGGAAATTCCTAAAAAGTTTTCTCCCACATAACCACAAGACAGTTATCAGCTATTAAAAAGCTAACGGTAACTCAACAGTAACTGCTCCACAGTCCGTTTCAGGTTCCCCTTAGCCCAGGAGGGAATGCTTTCACCCCAGCAGGGTACAGTCTAGGCTGGCAGCATCATGCTGCGCTTCATTTATGCTTTAGTCTCTGTGTTTTAAGAGTATTTCCTATGCTCTTTTTCTCTCACCTGACACTCCTTTAAGAATTTGTTAAAAAAAAAAATTGTGCTCTACCACTTCTTGGATTTATTGGATTCTTCCTGGTGACATATGAACTGATTTTAAAAAAGAAAAATCCTGTATTTGTGTTTTGTTTTAATCAAGTTAGGGTTTCCTCCCTCATTCTCCTCCCCACAAACCCAAATTTTTTAACAGTCCTTTTATGATATTTCCTTGGTCCTTTTTTTCTCCTCCCTCTTGCATAATCTCTCTTCCCACCCCCCCCCCCCCACCCCTGCCCGCACTTCACCTTTGTTCTGCAGAACTTTCTCAGGGAGGCTGTATGAGTTCATTCCGATGGAATAGAGGTGGAGATTTCAAGGGACGCAAGTGGGACACCGACCTACCCACGGACTCTGCTGTGAGCCTCTCGTTTTTGTTTGCTCGGTTTAAGAATTTTTAATTACTGGATTTATGGAAGGGAGGGTTTGAGGGGAGAGAGAGTTGTTTGCTTTTTCACAATAAAGATAAGTACAAAAGAATGTAGGGGACCAGGAGACAGTGTAGTGATTAGGGCGCAGCCTGCAGTTGCTGGGCCCGGCATCACCTGGCTTCTGGAGCATGGCCAGATGCAGCTCCGAAGGCCCGGAAGCACCACTGAGGGGCCCTGATGGTTCCTGGCACTGCAGGCCCGAGCAGTCCCACCTTAGAGTTCAGTTAGTCAGCCCCTGAGGCCCCCTCAGCACCGCTTGGTAGAACCCAACCAACCCCGCCCCCCCCAAAAAAAAACTTTTGTCATCCTTTGTGTAAAATACCATCTTCCCCACCCCCCACTTTTGAAGTGTTTGAATACATTTTTATTATTACACACTGTCATTTAACCAGTGTTCAGTATCGGTCATTAAAGTTTGATAAATGTGATAAGGAATGAGGTTTTTATTCGTAGTTCTGCCTTAGCATTGCAAGGAATATAATGATGTGCTTTTTTTTTTTTTTTTTTTTTTTTTGCTTTTTGGGTCACACCCAGCAATGCACAGGGGTTACTCCTGGCTCTGCACTCAGGAATCACCCCTGGCGGTGCTCAGGGGACCATATGGGATGCTGGGAATCGAACCCGGGTTGACTGTGTGCAAGGCAAACGCCCTACCTGCAGTGCTATTGCTCCAGCCCCAATGATGTGCTCTTTAAAAAAAAAAAATGCTGGTATTCATCTTTTAGTAGTTCCTTTTTTTTTTCTTTTTTTTTGGTTTGGGGCCATACCCAGGTGTGCTTGGGAACTACTCCCAGCTCTGCTTGGAGGCCCATATGGTGGAAAGGATGGAACTGGGGCCCTGTACTCTCTCTAAATGGCCAAAACTGTATGTGCATTCTATCTTAGTTTTCCTTAGTTTTCCTGTTAAGTATATGGGTGTGAAACATCTCCTTAAATTGAGGGATGTTTTTACTTATAACCACTTGAAAGCTGTTTGGTGAATTTTCTCTTTGCGGTGAGGGAAGGGCATTCCCAGCCATTGTAACCTGGTGGTTCGGGCCAGACCGTTCAGTGCCTGGGCCAGCGCTGTGGTGTTGCTTGGCCCACCAGGATTGATCTCCAGGCCTCCTGCATGCCCAGAATGTGTGCCTGTCCTTTGAGATGTCTCCTGGGGCCAAGGAAATATGTTTAATTGCAGTTCTTATATGGACTTGCAGTGGTAGTGGGAAAGCTAGGGGTTTTTTGTTTGGTTTTGGTTTTTGATTCCGTAGCTGATGCTCAGGGCTTACTCCTGGCAGTAGTCAAGGCACCATAAGTAGTGCTTTGGGTTGAGTCTGGGTTGGCTGCATGCAAGGCAAGAGGTTTACCCATATATTCTCTCTCTCCAGCCTTCAAAGCCAGATATTTTTTAAGGGTTTTCTCTGTGATCTTTCATGCTAACTTTTGATCATTTGTTTCCTCAACTTCAGATCATCATGCATGTGTTTTGCACCTACCTGGATTCCAGACTGCCTCCACATCCTAAGTACCCTGATGGAAAAACATTTACTTCTCAGCACTTTGTTCAGACACCAAATAAACCGGGTACAAACCTCTCCCTGAAGGAGTTAAATTTTTTCACATGTAATATTGATAGTGATTTTGGTTTTTAATGGTGCTTATTTTCTTTACAGATGTGTCAAATGAAAATGTTTTCTGCATCTCTCAGAGTGCTGTCAACCCTCCCCATTATGAGCTGATCTATCAGAGTCATGTCTACAGTCTTCCAAAGGTACAATTATGTGTAGAAGTTGCTATTACAGAATCTCATGGATGACTTGCTCTGATGATGTTTTTAAAATTAGATTCACTTGTTTATGGACTAGATAAACTTTTAAATTAGGGAAAATAAGTTTCTTATATCTTCTTTTTTAAACATAAGAGTAATGCATGCTTAATTTGGAAAAGAAAAGAAGGGGGAAATCATTCATTTTTCTGTTACAGGCAGCTAATGTTAACATTTTAGTGTATTGCCTTTTGGAAAAATTCCTTTTTTTAATGAGTTGAATTCATTTTACATAGTTTTATATCCTTTTAAGAATTAACTATGATACAGTTTTCTGTGCCATTAAAAATCTTCCTAAGAGTTTTTGTTTGTTTGTTTTTTGGGGGGTTTTTGTGGGGGAGTCATACCCGGCGATGCACAGGGGTTACTCCTGGCTCTGCACTCAGGAGTTACTCCTGGCAGTGCTCAGGGGACCATATGGGATGCCGGAAATCGAACCCGGGTCGGCCGCGTGCAAGGCAGACTCCCTACCCGCTGTGCTATCTCTCCAGCCCGAAGAGTTCTTTTTAATAGCTAAAAACTTCCACCAGGGGCCAGAGTGATATATGGTTTCCCCAAGCCTGCCAGGAGCAATTCCTGAGTGCAGAGTTAGGAGTAAGTCCTGTGCAAGGCCACAAGTAGCCCAAAATCAAAACAAAACCCAAAGAAAAAAACCCTTCCATTATCAGATTATTACATAAATTATTCAACCATTCCCTTCTTGTCAAAACTGGGTATTTCCAATTCTTGATTATCATACTTCATCTTTATGCATATACGTATCTGCATCTTAGATAATTTTTTAGCACAAAGTCCAAATGTGGAATTCTAGTGTTCTCAAGGTTTTTGAAATACCTTATCAAATTACTTTATTAAAAATTATTGGGCCAGTTTATACTCTTAGCCAGTTGTTTTAGTCTTTTTCTTATTTTTTGTTGTTTGGCTTTGGAGCTGGTGGTATTCGAGAGCTTCTTCCAGCTCAGTGTTGGGGTTTCTCCCAGCAGTCATGCAGTGCTGAGGATTACAGCTGGTCTCAGCACGCAGAACAAGCACCTGGCCCTTGGAGCCTTCTCCCTGGCCTGGCATTTTACTCTTTGATTGCAAATGTCAATTCTGTTGGTGACCTTTGCAGTTATTTTTGCGACCAGCATCTTTACTATGAATGTATACATTGACTATAAGTTGTGTTCTGTCCAATTCCCAGCAGAGAATATTAATTTCCTTTCATTTGGTTTAAAACATAACTGTGAATATAAGTATTTGGGGCCCATTGGATTTCCTGTGAGTACCCGTGCTTTTTTTTTTTTTTTTTAATTTTTATTAGTGAGACACCATGAGGTACAGTTGTATACTTACAAATTTTTGTGTTTGGGTTTCAATTATACAATGATCAAATACCCATCCCTCCACCAGTGCCCATTTCCCACCACCACAGATCCCAGTGTCCCTCCCACCGCCCTTCCCCCCCATTCCACCCTGCCTCTGTGGCAGGGCATTCCCTTTTGTTCTCTCTCCTTTTGGGTGTTGTGGTCTACAAAAGAGGCATTGAGTGGCAATCATGTTTGGTCTATAGTCTACTATCAGCCGTGCATTTTATTATTATTATTATTATTATTATTATTTAAAGAAACACAGCCAGAAAGATAGTACAAGAGTTTATCAAGATGCTTGTCTTGGGGCTGGAGTGATAGCACAGCGGGTAGGGTGTTTGCCTTGCACGTTGCCAACCCGGGTTTGATTTCCAGCATCCCATATGGTCCCCTGAGCACCACCAGGAGTAATTCCTGAGTGCAGAGCCAGGAGTAACCCCTGTGCATTGCTGGGTGTGACCCAAAAAGCAAATAAATAAATAAAAATAAAGTCTGGGCATTTCTTCATACATAACATATTCAACAAGCAAATTTTCTGATTAAATTTAATTTTTTAAAAAATGCTTGTTTTGCATGTGATCGACCCTGGTTTGATTTCTGGCTCCACATACAGTTCCTGAACACAGAACCAGGAGATTGCCTCTGAGCATTGCTTAGCGTTGCCCAAAATAAACCATCTTTTAAAAGTCATGTATCTTCAGGCCTGTGGCTGTGGCTTAAAGCACATATCTTACCTGTGAGACGCCCTAGATTTGACCTTTGGCACCACAAAAATATATATACATTCTTAGAGCCAGAGAGATAGTACAGGATTTAAGATACTTGCTTTCCCAGCCACCAACCCCGGTTTGTCCCCAGCACCATATATAGTCTCCAAGCACAGAGCCAGAAGTGAGCTCTGAGCACTGACAAGTGTGACCCAGAACACACCCCCTCATCCTGTGCACCCCCCACACACAGAGTGTATCCTCAGATTTTTTAGTTAAAATACACTAAAATTAGAACGAACAAATAAAAATTGATTAATAAATCAAAAGTCTAAATTCAGGAGCCATTTTACAGATCAGAAATTATACTAGTTTGATTTTAGCAAACTGGCAAAATGCTGTCTTATAGTTCCTTAGATAAAATTAATATGTAAAAAAATATTATACTGATATTAAAATATACTCAATGTGTTTTGAAGTATGAGTAAAAGGTTGTGGGTTTTTTTTTTCCTGTTGTGGGGAGGGGGTGTGTATTTCTTTATAGAGCCACACCCAACAGTGCTCAGGGCTTACTCCTTCCTGGCTGCACTCGGATCTTTCCTGCCATGCTCTGGCAATCATAATATGGTACCAGGCATTAAACCCAGGTCGGTCACATTCAAGGCAAGGATCCTACCTGCAGTATTAGCTTTCTGACCCCAAGCTTTTTCATCTGAACCCTTGTTTATACTGTAAGCTTCAGGGCTAGTGTGTTTTGTGGTGGGGAGTAATTCCCTGTGATACCCAACTGGCATGGCTGATGACTTCAGTGTTTGGGCCCGTGGTGCTGGGGACCCCCCGTCAGGACCACACCTGACTGATCCAGGAGTCCTACCCAGCTATAGCCAGTGGAGCCTGAGGGACCGTGCCAAGCTCGGGATCAAATCTGGGGCCTCTCATATAAGGCATATGCTCCAGCTGTTATCTCCCCAGCCCCACAGAGCATTTGTTTCATGTAGTATTAGTTGGGGACCCCATAGATGCTATGGAACCTCCCGCTCTGTTTAGCTTCAAGCCCAGCCCACCCTCCAACCCTATTCCCCAAAGTCCTGCTCTTCTCTTCCCCTGAGGGAAGGATTTCCAGATTGACTATTGTGAGTCAGGTGCCCTCCTGTTTCAGGATGGGCCACACTTGGAACATTCTGCACCCGTCATTGTGAATCTAGGTTTCCTGGGTGTCTTTGCCTCTGGACTCAATTAAGCGAACCTTTTCCATCTTGTTCTCCACAGCATTCCCTTTTCCAGTGCCAAGTAGGCACTGCTGGATGAGTGACTGAGAGTCTGCGTCGGTGCAATGCTGCGTTCATGGGTAGATTTGCATTTTCCTGTCAGATTGAATCTCTTACTTGAACCAGTTTAAATCTTGCCATCTTTTTTGTCTTTGTTCCAGGGCCGAAATAATATGTTTCATACATTGTTAATGTTCCTCTATGTTATTAAGACCAAAGAGTCAGGAATGCTTGGGTAGGTATTTATGTTTGAAAAACATAAGTACTTTGTTTACTGTTTTTCTCTCCTATTCAGAGGGTACCATCATACACCAGTAAGATTTGTGGAGTCAGTAATAGATGTTGCTTCCACTGCTAGTGGCCCCATCACTGCCTAGTTGTGCTATCTTGTGCATGTTCTTTTATTCCTCAGAACCTCCATTTCCCTGTGGGTTTAAAAAGAAAAAAAAAAAGAGTAATCGAATCCCTTCAGTGGACGGTTCTGTGTTCCCCAAGGGATCAAATCTTGGGATCTATAGCAGGCTCTTGCCAAAGACCAGAAACGGTTTTCTGTTTTCAGATACCCTATTTCAGATGCAGATCAAAATATTTCTACTTCCTGAGACAGCTTCTAGTTCATAATATTGTTGACAGGGGGTGGGGAAATTATTTATGGTTGAAATTATTTACATTTGTTCAGTCTAAAGTACATGGTAGTGAAGGTCACTTACTGTTGTACTGAATTAATAATTGCTGTATTGTTATTTCGGTGTTTTGAAAGTTTTTTCTATCAATATTTTAAATCAGTGGACTCCAGATAAAGGTAGGAAGATCAGGTGATACAGGTAGAATCTGGGTACAGCCCTTGGCCACACTTAAGTACCAAGAAAATGATTTGAGAAGAAAGCATCTGGGGTTCACACCAGTTCTTTTCTGCATACCTCCTTCCTGTATTGTTTAGGGGTCTTATGTATATAGAATCTCTCTAGAACTTCTGTGTCTGTGTAGCCAGAGCCACATGCGGCATTGAGGGAATATTTGAAATGGACCTAGTCTGAATTGAAATATATTGTGATACCAAAGAACAGGCATTGAAATCTTAGTGACTTTTATATTGTTGCTCCACTAAAGTTTCAGTGAAGTCCATCATTAAAATTGATCTCACCTGTTTAATAACAGGGTGATAGGATATAACCCAAAAAGAGTCTTATAAAGAAATAAATGCTCAACTTTGTTTTGTTTGGGGGCCAGGCCCAACAGTGCTCAGGGTTTACTCCTGGCAGGCTCAGGGAACCAGATGTGTTACCAGAGATCAACCCGGGGTGAGATGTAGGCAAGGTGAGCACCCTACCCAGTGTCCTCTCTCTCTGACACCAACACTCGAAAATTTTTTGTTTATTAATCAAAATTATTACCCACACTACTAAATGATGTGCTGAGGCTCATGAAGTCAGTGCCCTGGGTCCCCCAAGCCCACTCCCCAATGGGAGCCACCTAAGTCTTCAGTGTCACACAGTTAGCTCATTTCTTGGGTTATCTGAAAGCCCTGTTCCTCCCCGCGCCCCTCCCGCCACCTGTCTTTTGATTTTTGTGTCTTTTTCCCAGATCTCTTGCGTACAGAGCCTATGCGCCATCTCAACGGTCCTGATACTTTGAATACTCAGTCTTAGGCCTCAGAACAGAAGTCGAATTTTTCTTTTTGTCAAATGCATTGTGGTTTAGATTAAGCTATGCTGATAATGCCTGTATGCAAAGTGCAGTAAATATCTAATTCGGGCTGAAGAGGTCAAATTCTCTAGGAGGCCTTAGAATTTTTGTCTTTTTTTTTTTTTTGATGGCTTTGTTTTTGTTTTGTTTTGGTCCCATACCTAGTGGTGCTCAGGGCTTATTCCTGGCTTTGTGCTCTGGGATCACTCCGGTGGGCTTGGGAAACCATATGAGATGCTGGGGGATGGAACCCGGGTTGGCCTTATGCAAGCAAGCACCCTACCTGCTGTTCTATCACTCTGGCTACATGGGCCTAGCAGCAGCATCATAGTCTCTCTCTGGATAGGGCCTTGTGGGCCTAGAACTGTCATAGTATCTCTGTGAATAGGGGCTCCCTTAATTGTGTTCCCATGTTGGGGGCGCTGGCAGTTCTTGACCTAGAGATATGGGCCTGACAGATTCCATGCTTGGGGTCCTGCAGGGTTGTCCCCACGATGCTGTAGGAGATGAGGTGGTGAGGATGGGTCTCAGAGCTCACGCATACAGGGCTAATTGACCTCTTGTCTCAGCTGTATCTTGATCTCTGTATGTGGGGAGGGAAAGGGGCGGAACCACCCCTGGCAGTGCTGGGGTACGTATACAGGTCCCAGGATAAACCCAGGGACTCCTGTGTGCAAAGCTTACCTTCCTGCTGTTGAAGCCATCTCCCCTCACAATTCTTATTATTTTTTAATTGACACTTTTACTTTAATCTTGCTTGCTAAATTATCCTGTTAGCTCTATTATCTAGTGCAATCATTCTTCAGGTCCACTGAAAAATTAATTTTCAACACTCCGTAAATTCATTTATTCTAAATTTGGGTTTTAAGCACAGTTAAGAAAGTAATTACTGTTACAAGATTTCACCTGATAAGCCATGTGTAACATAACTCGTTGCAGAAGAGCGTTAAATGTTGTCAATTAAACATGCATTCCTTTAAAGACTCTTGTTTTAGCGACTTGGACAAAGAGACCTTCAATGCTTGGTGCCACTAAAACTTTCTTCTCTTTCTAGGAGAGTTAATCTGGGGCTGTCTGGTGTGAACATTTTGTGGATTTTTGGCGAGTAATGAGTCAGTTAATTCCAGACATTTGAATTTGAATGGGACTTGACCCGAAGTTGGATCTAAGAACCTCTGAGTCACAAGCTCCTCTGCAGTAAGATACCCGTATATGTGTTTGTGTGTAAAAAAAAAACTCTCCAGACTGAATCAAAACTCTACATGTGTAATGTTTCTTGTGAGAACCCGTGCTTCCCCCAGGATAGCCTTTCAAATTTTCCTTTTGCCTAAAAAGCTGCATCTCTTCCAATTTTTGTTGATCCCATCAGTACAGTTTTCCCCTTAAAGTCCTTTTTCGTACAACCCAACCCCCAAATGAGAATCATTCACCTGATTTTCCCCTCAGAAGTTGTGCATATGGTTGTTTTTTTTTGTTGTTGTTGTTTTTAATCTCACTGTTTAGTATAAACACTTAAACAAATGACTAATTTAGTTGGGGGTGTTTTGGTTGTTGTTGTTTTTTTTTTCCCTAATTTCTATCCTATATCCCTGGTGTTCTGCAAATCAACCCAAGGTTCATATTTAAAGAGATGGGCTAAGTTTCTTAGTCATGTATTTGTCCATGTCTATATTTTTCGTTTTTTGGTTTTTTTTTTGTGATATTTTTCTTATCCATATGTATTTTAAAAGAAGGGTAAAAGAAGCTTCACTTTCTGGAGTTTAAAAAGCCAGCTCCTGGCTGTAGTAGCAGGCAGGATGAAGTTGAGTTTGAGCTCAGAGTCTGAGGACATGAAAAGAATTGCTTTGGTTTTAACAATAGTTCTGCTGTTACATATTGTTTTATCTTAAGAGTTAAATACCTTTAAGAACACGTATTTGTATGAATTGTTTAAATATGTTCTAATATCTGGAGGGCCTTCGGCCTTTAATATCTGGAGCATGAAAAGTCACCAAGGTTTTAAATTTTGATTTAAATCCATCTGTATTTTCACATATGCATACACAAGATCTCAGGGCAGTCCGCGTGTATTTTTATAAGTAAAGCATTTGAAGCTGCTCCTGTGACCACACATAAACCTGGACACAGCCTATGGATCACACATTGATGCTAATATGCACCTAATTTGACATAATGTGTAAATTCTGTTTTTCAAAAAGTTAATATTTTAAAAGTCGCGTGTACATAGGAAAAGAAGTTCCTCTATTTTGACTTGTTATCCATGAAACATGTTTGCTATGCTGTATAAAAAAAAATTAAATGTGTTAATATAAGAACATGTTAAAAATCTTAAGTCTGCTATTACAAAAAAAGATGTTACAGAGTACCAGTTTCTGTACTGCTAAACTATTCAATGCATAGTTTTCATTAAAGAAAATTAACATGTAAGACTTTTTTTTTAATAGGACTTCAAGTAATTTGGGCGGGGGGGGGTCATAGGGGCCTGGGCCACACCCGGCCATTGTCAGGGGTCTCAACTGGGGGTGCTCAGGGAACCACATAGGATGCTGGGGATTGGTCAGCTGCATGTAAGGCAAGTACCCTGCTTGCTATACTAGTATCTCTCAGGCCCCTGACTTTCAAGTAAATTTTAGCATAAAATGAAAGTTGTAATACATATGTATGTGTAATATATTTATATCGGGTTTGGGGCCACTCCTGGCAGTGGGGTTCCAGGGCTCAGACCCAGAGCTGCCACTTGGAAAGCATGTCTTCCAGATTCCTGAGCCACCTCCCAGCTCTGTTTAAGTCAGGAAATACAGCAGCAACAACAATAACAAAGCTAGGCAGACAGAACAGCACAACCTCATGTAATTCTAGTGCTCATAACTCCTGGATTAATTTATCTTCACAGGGGTCTGAGCCAGTGTGGGCTTCAGTGCCAATTCTGACGCCTTCATTGGAATTCTCATGAGGGGATGACAGTGTGCCACAACTACAGTCATTGGCGTGTGTGTGTGCGTGTGTGTGTGTGTGTGTGTGTGTGTAAATTAGTAAAATTCTACTATCCTCTAAATATTGCTTAGCAAGTAATTTTTACAAGTTTTTGTCCATTGTCTGGCTCTTCCCCTAGTGGGCTGAGATCTGCTGACCACCTAGATCCCGCTCACTGGTATTGTCCTTTTTTTTTTAATCTCTTCTATGAAGATCAGCCTGTACTTCAGCCCATTTTTTTAGGGACAGACTTGGATGTTCATTATTATTTCCTCATAAACATAGAAAAAATTGCAGTGTTTAACTTTCTCAATAGACACCGTAATGGTGAATGCAGGTGGCACTAACACACTCAGATTTGCTCAGAGATCCTTTAAAGGGGACGTTCCTCAAGGCTCAGCATTGGCCCTCTGCATCATCTATCACCCTCTGATTCCCGGGTTCCTCGCCGACCACCTCGTCCCTGCTGAGTTCCCAAGAGTCACTCACACTGCGCATCCTGTCCCTCTGCCCTGAGCACCCTCTCGCTGCCTGCCTTTCGGCTCCATGGATAGTCCATTACCTGTGCCCAGAACCCTGGCTTCAGCTTGGGTTTCTTGAGCTCCCTGGGTCCCCAATCCAATCAGGCCACAAGCCTCATCCATTCTTTCTTAACAATGGCTCTTGCAGCTGTCCCTTTCCATTCCTGCTGCCACTGGGCTCATTTACACTCTTATCAACTCACCCAGGACCACTCACTACAACAGCCTAATTAATCTCACAGCTTCCTAATTGTTGCCATGCTTCCAGATTGTCCAATTCATCCCACACATTCTCTTCCAATTCATCTCCCTCAAACACCTGTTTGATCGTTTCATTCCCCGATAAATTCCTCAGGCTGACATTTAAAGCCCTCCACAATCTGGCCCCAGGCTGGCCCGGTCCGCCCAAAGCTGGGGCACCAGCAGGCAGCTCCTCGCCCGACTCCTCCTGCCTACGGGTGGGGGGCTGCGGGGGAGGCGTCCCCTCACCCCCGCCTGGAGACTTCGCTCTAATTAAACCCTCTCTCTTTTGGAGCTGGTCCTGACCACTCCAGCTGGCAAGTCTGTCTCCCTGGGGGCTGCGACCCGGCCCCCTTTTTGGCACTCGGCAACTGTGTGAGTTTGGGAAGGGACTGTTGGTGTTGTCGATAATGGCTCCCTACACTGTTTCATCCTCCTCCAAGACTGGGATTGATGAGTCCGAGCCGTGGTGCTCCAGGGGATCGCAGGGGACCCACTACTTTGGGCACAACCTTTCCTGGCCCTGTGGGCAGGACACCCGAGCCAGCGGGTGTGCTGGCCCCAGAGTAGCATTTCTGGGGTGGACAGACAGCCCCAGCAGCAACCCCTGTACTTCCAGAGTTTCCCTCAGTGACGGGGACACAGCATGTGGTCCAGATGCTACAGGGCCTACCCAGAGGGATACAGTGGCTGACCTGCTAGTGACCAATCCACCGCCCCAGTGAGGACAAGCAGCAAGAGGAACCACAGCAGGCTGCAGGGGAGGGTCTGGGCGCATCTGGGTGCTCACATCCCGGATGGACTTGCACAACCTGAGCCTGTGCTGCTTGGCCGGTGTCATAGGGCAGACAGACTCCGAGCTGGATTTCTAGCACCAATGGGAGGACAGAGAGTGGCCCCTTGTCAGGGTCAGGTCGAAGAATCTGATCATGTGGGGCCTGAGGGGTGCAGATAATACCCAGATGCACCCAGGACCCAGTGTTCCCAGACCAGCAGTGACCCCCGAACACTGCTTTGCCAATTCATGTGCCATCTGTCCTGGGCACTGCTCTGGAGGATGTGGAAGGCTGTGAGTAAACCCGTTCACACCTCATCCCAACCCCCACCCCCATCCCAAACAAAGCAGGGGGACCTGAGCCTTTCACCGGGTGGCTTCTGATCATAGACACAGACACTCATCTTAGCTCAGATATTTGAAGCACAGAGAAATGTGAAGGACTGCTTTGTGAGGTAGGGATGCTCTAAAGTCTTTGAAAGTAATGTAGTATCATAAAGCTTCAGGTCGGAGAGGGTGGTCAGTGGGAGCTTAAGGCTCTTGCCTTCTGAATGGCCAACTCTGGTTCGATCCCCGGCATCCCCATGTGGTCTCCAAACCAGCCAGGAGTGATCCCTGAGCAGTCAAGTAAGCCCTGAGCACAGCCGGGTGTGGCCCTTTGGTGTTATAAAGCTACTGTCATTCCCAGAACATCGGATGGGGCATTTCTCCATGGCCTGAACATATACATATGCATACCTGTTCACACAGACATACACACACCATCTGGAATATGGGGATACACATATCCAGGGCCAACACACACAATCTCTCGGGAGGGGGCCCTTAAGGGGCCTCCCCTGGTAATGCTCAGTGATCACTCCTGGCAGGAACCAGGGGACCACATAAGATACCAGGGATTGAATCTGGGTCTGACATGTGCAAGGCAAGCACCTGACCCACTGCACTACCTCTCCAGCTTCAAAACACATAGTCTCACCCACACACACTGTCCCTTCCAGCACCCACTTACCTTCCCTACCCCAGACCCAGCACCCCCTGGGGCAGAGAGTACCCCCGTTAATATACTGAAGGCTGGCTTTCTGGTATGCCAAGAAAGTCCCTTTTCCTCCCCATGTCCAAACTACAAGGAAAAAATAACACTGCTGAATCAGGCTCTGCTTTCATGCACTGCACCCGTGGAGCAACGCCAGAAGGTGCCGCTGGCCCCTGTTGGGAGTGAGCTTATTTTCTTAGAGTGGCAGCCAGGCCTGGGGCTTCCTCCCATGCGAGGTGGTGGTGTGGAGACTGCAGTGATGGTTTTGGCCCAGCACACGCTTCCTGAGCTCCAGCTCTGGAGAAAGGCCCCCTTGTACGCCTCCTGGGGAGGGCGGCCTGCCGCCCTACAGCCAGCGGGGCAAGGTGGTCCTGCTATACCTTGTCAAAGGGGGACTTGGCACAAGAAGCCTGAACCAAAGCCGCGCACAGCCCCAAAGCTGGGCACTTGGAAGGTGTTCAGTGGCTCCACCTCAGCCAACACTGTGCATCAACCCGAAAAACCAACCCCGAGCCATGCCCCGCGCCCAGCTCAGGGCATGCTGCATTCATCTCAAGTCTCTCCATCTTGAAAGTTCCTGGAGTTAACTACTGCCAAGTGGTGGTTAGACGCCACTTAGGTCAAGTGCCTGGGGTAGAACTTGCCTCCAAAGGGTGTCTGCTTAGGAAGACACCGGCTGCTTTCTGGGGAGCAAGCACCCCATGTTTTCATCACACCCTTTACTGTGCACGTTTCCTTTTTCCCACCTCATCATTCTCTGCTGCTCTACCCATAGTTGCTGACAGTGGAACCTGCTGAGGGCCTGACTTGACCCATCGAAGCCAGGGCAGGGGCGGGCAGTGCAGGAACAAATACCCAGAATCCTGAATGCCATCAACAGATTCCTGAAGATGGTGACTTGCAGTGCAATGACGTCTAATGAAACCAATTCGCACACAGGCTCATGGATAGCAAGAACAAAGTTCCAAGGTCAGAGAGAGGCCTCAGTGGGCTAAAAGACATGGAGGAATCCTGAATTCATGTCAGCACTGCCTTCCTGGTCCCAAAACCAACAACCAAAGTCCCTACTAAGCATCTCTGGCGAGATGAACATACTGAACTTCTCAAAATGAAGGTGCAAACTCTTGCTTTGACAACCAAAGCCCTGGGATAGGCAACTGAGGGCTCAGACAGGACCCAGCCCTGGACAAGACACCCTCCACCACAGGGACAAGCAGGACCGCACCCCTCACTCCCTCAGGGACAGCTGAACGCGGTCCAGTACGCCTCACCAGCACGTCTTTGGGGTATGGGAGCCCTGAGGAGCCCAGGCAGCTGGGAGAACCTGTGAATGGACCTTTCCCATTGTTGAACATTATAAAGGAGCAGCAGCCTGGGGCTGGAGACATCGCACAGTGGGTGGGGCAGGTACCTTGCACGCAGGCAACCCAGGTTTAAACCTCAGCATCCCATATGGTCCTCTGAGCTGAGTGCAGAGCCAGGTGCGGACTGAAAACTAAGCAGCAGCGGCAGCTGGACTCACTGGGCTATGGGGGAGGCAAGAGGCCTGTATACAACAGCGGTTCCTGAGGCTGAGAGCCGGAGAGGCACGTGTGAGGCATAGGAGATCTGGACTGTTGGTTGAATGGCTCCCAGGTGTCAGCAGGCGAAGCCATTTGAGAAGTAACTTTTGTGCGCTCGCTCTCTCTCTCTCTCTCTCTCTCTCTCTCTCTCTCTCTCTCTCTGCCTGAAATTAGCAGTGAGTGGGCTTCTGGGGAAGTCTGAGAGGAACTTTCTGGCAGGGTGGGTCAGAGGACAGAGAAAGAGGGGTTGACCAATGGCGGCAGGATCTGAGCAACCCAAGCAGCCACTCAGCATTTGC